ACCGGGTTGTATAGCGCCCCACCATGGCACACCAAGTACACTGGGATTAAAGACACCCCTTTTTACGGAATTTCCGCGCAAAGCATTCCGTTGCCCTAATATTTGTTAGTGGAGGAACCGTTTTGGGGAATACCTCCTTTTGGAGACATATACCACTGGGTAAGCAACCGTGCCATCAACGCTTGGAGTGCAAGGAAGCTTAGACAAAACAAAGGAAGTGAACAAACAAACACAAAAGAAGTTTTTGTTGCGGCCAGTACGCAACAAGATCACTAAAGGCATCGGCAAAAATAATGGACTACTTTTTATTAGACCAAATATTATTATTATAAAAATTGTTTGTTCAATACGTCCCAAGTGCAAACGCCTTCACAGTTTTTACCTTCACTCATTAATGCCTTTTAATTTAAGAAAACTGTGAATATAAGAAATTTATCTAGAATGATTGCTTCATAAAATAAAAACCTGAAAAGAAAACTCAAACCGCCAACCAAAACTTCATCGAAATACAGAACCTAAAATTCGTTAAATAATCAGATTCGAACAAAGATCCGATGGGATTGCAGAACATGATTTTTAAATAAATTTTAGTACTGGTTGGCGTGCGTTGTTCCAAATCGATATCCTCATAATACTCAGCCAATTACAGTGTCCGTCAAAATCACGACACGTTTTCGAAAAAACAGTTGTTGAAAGAAAATCATTTTTTTGTCTTTTTTGAAAATGCGACTTTTCTATTTAGTATTATTTGGAGAATTTAAAAAAAAATGTGAAAAGTACTCGGCCGTGAATACTTCACAACTGCCTTTATTAATTTTATTTAATTATAATGAAACTTATTGCTAACATACATTTATGTTAATTCAGCTTAAATTATATTTTACAAATATGTTTTATATATGCAAAATATTATATTGTTGCTTAATTCATTTATATTAAACTAAACGGTTGCAATTCCTTGAATTGCGACCGACAAATAATTTTATATCTGGAATTGAACGGAAATGATTTTACTGTTACAGTTTGATATATTTTATTTTTCATTTATTTCATGCTTATTACCTTTTCGATGAATTCGTCAATCTTGTCATTTTTAATATAAGTGTGTGTATTAGCATTTGTATATGTAACTTGCGTGCAGCTAAACCTTGACCTGGTACGAACTTTGCTGACATCAGAATTGGCTGAATCGTCTGCATTAAAATGAGGTTCATGTCAACTATTCAAATGCACGGTCAGTACAATTCAATAAAACAAGGTGCCTAGAGATTTCCTGGATCGTTGATTAAGAATCTAAGATTAAGTTTCAAATATTCAAAAAGACGGATCCAATATGGCGATCATGAATATAAAATTTTTTTTTCATGATTTGAAGAGAGTGGAGCTCTATTTTTCCTCTGACCGACGACCAGTATCAAAACTCTGTCAAAAACTTTCAAAACTGGAGTGCATTCATTTAACACGGGGTGCTATGTCAAAGTTATCAAAAATCTCGCTCATCAGCTCGTCGTTTCATGGTCTGCGATATCAGACATTGTCAACGTCCAAAGGACCATAAATCTTCCACGAAACCTTTCTCTCGAAAATTTCTAGTGCCGACCCATGTACCATATAGCAAAGCAAAAACAATGAGCGACTTGCGGCGTTTGTTTATGGCTAACCAAGAGAAGACTTTAATTTTCACTTGCTTAGATTGATTCTGCGCATTGGACTTCTGGGACATATTGTTGTTGGTGTTAATACTGGTTTCTTGATAAATGTAATTATCTCAGGCGCGAACGTCGCAAGAGGTTTTGGGGGTGCTTCATATATATTTGCTTGGTTGGTTGGTTGGTTGGTTAGTTGGAAGTGGAGGTTGCAGACTTAGCAGCAAGCGGCCGTACATAACTAAAAAGTAGACTCATTGTGCTCCCAAACTATAAATTTTGCGAACATTTTGCTCGATTTAATCAAATTATTTAATTTCTTCCAACCATGTATGCCCACCTCCGTAAGATTGATTCTGAGAGCACCGAGAAGGATGTGACACCTTAATCGGTTGAAGACCGACAACTCACACAAAAGTAGTGCTCCATCGTTTCGTCATTTTCTGTGCATGCTCTGCACTCGGTCGATTCCACTTTACCCAGCTTGTGGAGTGGGTAGGTGCCTGTCAATACACCCATAAGAATACTAAGTTATGTTTTGCTTAATGCTAGTAACAGTTTGGTGTATCCACAATCCAATAATTTGGTGGTGTTTTCCTGGACCTTAAGTCCTCCTCAATGGTCTACAGTATTAGAAAACATTTGAAGCCGCTGAAAGGTTTGAGGTAGTCGAAGTTTATTGGATCATTAGTGTGATCTACTACAACCCGAGGGAAATTTTCTACCAGACAAATCGGTCATTAATACAGAACTGCCCTGTCGGGTAGGAGTTCAAGAATTTTCCCCCAGTAAGGCATACCTGTCATAAGAGGCGTCTAAAATCCAAAACTTTACACGAACTCCTCTATTTTTATACCAGAAATCCCCAGATTTTTATGTCGCCAAGGTATGTCACTTCAGCAATATTTCCCAAAATCTACATAAATACAGAGCTTACAAAATATGTACTGTAACGGACTTTTCCACTTGGCTGGAGTAAGCTCAGCCTTGGCAAGGTTTTCCTAAAATAACAACATTATATTTTCGCTACAACAAATTTATTAGTTATAAACAAAATACATATGTATATGTACATATATGTATATACAAGATTTCTAATATATTTCAACAGCATGTTTCTACTTTCTTCATATGAGCTGTAGAGGTGAAAACCCTCAACTAGCTCCTTTTCCAGTGAGGTGATAACCCTAAGTGTTCGTGAGGTAAAAGCCCTTAGGGTTACTACGTTTGCCGGTGGTGTTGATCCCACCGGCAAGTATACCTATCGACAATACAAAGGCTACTTAATTCTCTTTAGATTTTCCCCGCCTTTTATATATGTAATTCTGCATGCAGGCAGATGTTATTTAGTAAAAAAAAATTATTACCCTAAACAGTTTTCCTTAAAGTTACATATGTGTGTGTATGTATGTGTATGCATGTTCATATGAATCATGTTTGAACATGTTTCTCCTTGTGCAAGCACAGCGAATACGCATAAAGTGAAACTCATAAAATGTGTACGTACACATGTACGTACATATGTATATAATAACACGTTAGGTGTGCACTTAAACTTGAAAATATCCTACTATTTATATACACATATACATATGTAAGTTTATACATATGTATGTACATATTATAAAATTCAAATTGTTTTTATATGTATGTATGTATATATGTACATACACATATTTTCTTGCGTTGCATTAAGGGCACCAACGTCTAAGATTTTGGGGTCCTTACAGTACCCTAGCAATCGGCGGGTATATTAAGTAATAAGTGAGTATTCAGTAATTACTTTACAATAAAAAATTTGCAGCAAAAAATAAAATTGAAAAATTTAACGTTTATAAATAGAAATCTAAGTATGTATGTATGTATATATCAATTATGAGAGAGAGACCTACATCTATTTTATTTAACAATCCAGTTAATAGATTTGAAAGATTTGGGAAATCAAACTGATAAATTGGAAAAAAACATTACAATAAACTAAAACAAATTTTGATAATTTCTATGTTCTAAGCATGAAAAAACTTTGAGTTCGCTGCCATTGTTCTTTGTTAAATTCTCGCTGGACTTAATGCAAACTACACGCGATACAGCGTCCTGCACAGCAAGGCGATGTTGTAGCAGTTTGCATTAGTTCTCTTCATTGATCAGATGGGCGGGTAATAATTTTAACCAAACTTTGCTGGATCGTTTTCGCTGAGCCACAAACTCAGGAAAAAATAGTAACGAGATAGCATAATTTTGAAGTTTAGTTGGAGAGAAAGATGCGAATTCATGCTGGGAAAATTTGTCCCAGTAAAAACTATGAAGTATGAAAAACAGCTGATTGTGATCATATAATTGAATTTTTGTCAACAAAATAAAATTGATTTAAAACTAAAATAATTTTATTTCCTCAAATTTGATTGAATGCCAACAAAATAAGTGATTTAGTGTAATGTTGTTAGCTTGGCTGTATAATGTTGGGCAAATATCAAAACATATTAATTTTTAGTGGACGGAGCTTGCAGTTGTATATTTTGCATTATCGTAAGTATTACTGTTGTATTTACATTAAGTAGCAGTGTCTTTGTAGTGAAATTAGCAACATATGAACCGAATATGACATAAATTTGCAAAATTTTACTAAATCGTATCAAAATTTCCCGGAGTTTTTCCTCGTCGTATAAAAATTCATCCATCTTTATTAAGCTCATTTTACCTGCTTCTTGCAATATTCTTACATAAAATGAATATAAATAATGTTGCGAAAATGCGAGGCGAATGTCAGATGAAAGAGAGAAGCCGATAACTAGTACGTTCTAGAAACGATAAAACAAGAACCTTCCATAGCGAACAATTCGATGCTTCTACGCTTTCGTCTGCGAGCAGCCGACTGCTATATAAAGGCGACACTCAGCTGCAAGTCAAGTTAGTGATAAAGTGAACTCGTTGGCGTTAACATCAGTGAAGTCGTAAAGTGAACGCGTTGGGAATTACATTTAAGTAGAGTAAATGGTGAAAGTTTATGCAAGTGATTGTAGCTAGTAAAGTGCCTTGTAAGTGAATTGTGTATTACGGAGTAAATAAAGGACATTAGATAAAATCTTTATTACGAAAGAAACTCCAAATTAAGTTGGCGAGTTTTATTTAACAATCCAGAGATCGTACCCGAAGGATTTAGGAAATCATCGAGGTTGATTTAGTAAAATCGTAACAATAAAATGAAACATGCGGTTAGCATGTTGTGCAGCACGCTTTATCGTGTGTACTTTACATAACATTGTATCCCCTTTTTAAAATTTTCCAGTTCTGAAAAATATAAGATTGAAAGCCATTGAACATACCACTTCACCCTTTTTTTTCCATTTTGTTTTTCGCCGCTACTTTTCGTCTGACATCCGTTCATTGATAATTGAGTGAACATGCTCACATAACTTGACATTGCTGGAGTTGACATGGGTGACATTTGTATTCTGTAAATTTTTCGGCATTTAACACAAATCGTGAAGGAAGGCAGAAAAATAGAAGGTCTAAAAGTAGAAGAAGAAGAAGTAAAAGTTCTTTATATTTTTATACTCCCCAACATAGAGGCGTGATTTAGAAAAAATTATATAGTGAGAGCGCTAAGCGTTCGAAATAGAAAGTGAGCAGGGTTATCCTGAATACAAAGCATTATCACATCCTTGAAGGATTTGAGCACATACGTAAATTGCTAATAATTGGATTGCGTGCTTTGTGGAAGTGACCCTGAGTAAGCGCCGCTGTCTTAGCAAATAAATACATATAGCAGAACTAGGTGCAGTGTGCAGTGCCGCTGTGTTGACGACGTGAAGTGTTGAAACTGTCAAGACAAGGTCGGTCGGACTGCTGAGTAAAAACCCAGACAGTAATCAACTAAATTACACATTTAATTCTTTTTACACCTGCTAAAGAAGCTGTGAAAGTTTAAAACACTCAAAATGGTAAGTACCGCAGTGTCATCTTGGTAAAAGTTTCTGTTGTATGGATATATGTATGTATGTGGCTAGCGGCGCCGACCGTGGTAATAAAAGCAGCGAAAAAAGTAAAATCAAAGCAACAACAATGTTGTGTTAATCAACTGCTGCTGCTGTCAATAACGCCGCATAAAGCATGGCGTCAGCGCCGTCGCTTTTGTGAGCGCTGCCGCTATTCGTATATGATGTGGACGTAACTAAATGAACTTTGACCAAATAACTTCAATAAATAATAACTATCAATAATTTGTATACATTTAATGTCTAGGATGTGTTCCTTATGATACGAAGACATAAGACAACAATTTTTACCGATGCCAAGGAAAACACAACTGTTGCGGAACTTAAGCGTATGATTGAAGGTAGGTTAACGCTTGTGTACTTTTTTTTATCCGTAAATGACTAATAACCACATTTGTTCAAAGGTATCCTAAAAGTACGTCCGCACGATCAAAAACTATACAATCAGGACAATGAGGTGATGGAGGACGATAACACTTTGCAGGATTATGGTATTCAAATGTCTACAGCTAAAGCGCAAGCTCCTGCACAATTAGGACTAGCATTAAGGTGGGTTTTATTGTTCTTGCACGGAATGACCGCTCATTACTTTGCATAAATTGCTGGAGCGACAGTTCTTGATTTCCTATAAATGTTCAAAACTACATACATTTTATTAGCAAAGTTTTGCATGACACTGAAATACTTAATTAAAAGTGTTATTATGTAGACACAGTAATTCATTTCAACTAGGAGTCTACGTTGGTTGGTGGACTTTGCGAACCGGATTTACGTTTGCCCAACTCTGCCTTGAGCATTCACTGGAAGCGTAGAATGAACTTTTAAAATTGTTTGACTTGTACTTTTTGCTGAGGTGTTGTCTGAGTGTTATCACTGTATATATTACGTATTGTGTTTTTTTTTTTAGTTTGGAAATTGTTTTAAATTTTTTATTTCTATAAAAAAAAAAAAAAACTAGCGATTATTAGCACTTTGCAAGGCGTAAGTGTATAAGTGTGCGTTTTTTGTTTTGCTCAATTAATTTAATGCTTTATTTTTACGGGTTTATTTTCGGATACGTTTTAGTCATGCTTACGCGGCGTGGTTTTGGCTCGTGCCAACAAAATATACATTTTCTTAGATAGATTCTGACATACATAAATAGTAAATTTTGTGGAAGGTCGTAAATGGCAATATGTACATATATTTTTAAAAAAAATTTTTTGTTAACATGCCTAATTTTGTTATGCTTTATTATATATAATATTTCTATACATATGTGTTTTTTTAACTTTGCAGAGACGAACATGGAGATTTCGAACCGCTCGAAATCACACCATACTCATCGCCACCAGATCTACCTGAAGTTATGAAAAATCAAGAGGCAGCTAATGGCCAAGAGCAGGTTGCATAAAATAGTACACTTGATGCTGATATAAAAACCAACAACAAAACAACAACTAAAAACTGCAATAATAGGTCAAACGTATCTTACACCACGAAATGGATGGCATGCAGAAAAAAACTTGAAATTTAAGAGGAATAAAATTACAAATTCAACATGTTTTTCAAAAATGAACACATCCATGCTTTCTTTAAAAAAAATTATAACATTTATAAAATTCTTACTTGCTAAGTAATTTGAGCTAATGTGTCTTTTAACTAAGCAGCAAAAAACGAAAAATCCAAAACTTAATGACTTGGAATTTAACATCATAACTCTTCTTCAAATTTATTTTTTTTTTTATTAATATTATTTTTTTTATAAATGCAAAAACCACTTTTGTCAATCGAAACGTTTTTATATTTTAAATACGCTCAAGGAAGAGCTAATTTACTTTGTAGTTGTCAATGAATTTATAAGTAATTTAAAATTGCCTTTTTTACCTCTAATGCCGTGCATATCTCTAACTAATTTTTTGTGTTTCTTTTCATATCTCTTTTTTAATTGTTAACATAAAAAGAATTATAACAAAGAAAACAAACTTACATATGCTATTATTAAGCGGCTCAAAATTCGCAGAAAGAAAAAATAATTCTAAATTCTATAATTAAACAATTCCGTAGTCATCCTTCATAAGAAAAACGCGAAATTCGAAGAAAACACTCAATATCATGTAAAAACAAAACACACCTGAGAGTTGCCCATCTCAAAACTCTTCTACTATTGAGCGCTTAAATAATTTTTTAGGAAACAAAAAAAAATTTAAAAAAATGGAAAATCGCATTATTAATAATTTATATTGTAAAGCCTTATGAAAACTCGACGATATACTACATACATATATAAACGCTAAGAATGTAAAAGCAAGTCAGAAAGAGATACCCAGAAATTATATGGCGTTGGTGAAGCAGATAAATATCTTTATGAATTACTATATATTCGGTTAATTTTATTAATTAATTAACATAATTGTAAAAATAAGATTTAATTATTAAAGAAAGAAAACACGAAAAAATGCTTTTGTAAATATTATTCTCCTACAAAATTAATCACTTGCAAACATATTTTCATTATACTCAATCCGAGTCATCGCTCCCACTGCCATTAGAAGTAGCCTCTTGGACGCCTTCTTCAATGAATGAAGCATTACTCGACTGTTGCAATTCCAAGTTTTCCAAGTATTCTTGTAAGCGATCTTGAAAAAAATTTATATACGTCTGTTTCTGTTGGGCCGTTGCTGGGAAGTAATGCCCACCAGGATGTTCCAATATCTCAACATTTTTGAAATATGCGGCCAATTCCTGACTCATTTCTTTTGGTATGATGTCGTCTGAGAGGCCATATATATGCAACGTTGGTATAGTAATAGTTTCTTCATATGCGCTTTTATGCACCAGGCTACCAGAGATAAAGCCTGACGATAATATGGCAAAATCCGGACGCACAGTAGTTACTAATACGATAATAAAATGATTAACATACACTAATATTTATGTCCAAATTTCAGCTCACGTTTTTTTTTAGCCAGACCGCATAGCAAGCCAACAAAACAAGCGCCTTGCGAGAAGCCTAGTAGACCTTGGAATGGTCCTTGTGTTTTCCACGCCTCCTCAACCAGACGCAAACTCTCTTGGAATCCAAATGCCGGCCCACCTTTATTTGTACCTTTAAAAGAGCCATCGTCTTTGTTTGCCCACCAACTTCGCTGATCTGGCACTGGTTCGCCGCCTGGTTCAAGAGGTGTTGCATGATGGGGCGCTGTTAAAAATACAAATTCTGCATATTTGCCAGCAAATTTGCGGAATGAACCCAATTTATTTTTTAACGCATCACCATTCTGTCTATAGCCATGCAAACATAAAACTTTTACTTTATCCTTAATTTCCAATAGCTGTTGTTGTTTTGGTTTCTGGCTAGCTGCTTTTGAGCTACTTGATGCGGTTGATGTATTGGTCATGATATAAATATTCCTGAGTTTATAAATAATTTTAACTGATTTAGAAACTTTAATGTATGAAGAGCCTCGAAAGGTTATATCAGCTGTAGCTTGACATTTTGCCGGTTGTCTTTTTTTTTCATTTCACGCTTTGGTATGTTCAGTGCCAAAATTTAGAAATTTAAAATGAGTTTTACAAAAAAATTATTGAATTTCTTCGAAAAATTTAATTGTTCATATGTAATAAAAGTTATATATTTATATGATATTCAATGATTTTTTCCATTTATTATTCTTTAACGAAAAGCATTTAAAACATTAGTCACACGCAGCACGTTTCAGCACAGCCTAATTTTTGGCATATGTTCGCCGATTGTCATTTGATTGCGCGTTTCCTTATGTAAATACTTGTAAATACAGTTTGATATCATTACATTCATTTTATATTCAGCGGAACTTATATCAAACTACGTGAGAAAAAGACTTCCAGGTGAAGGGGAAAATCTACTTAATAACCTATCATCATCACCATTATAACAAAATGCTGCTCACGGCCCCATTACTATCGAAGTCTTCCTTCTTCGGTTCATTGGTGAATAAATGCAGGCAAGTGATAAAAAATCAACCGTCAAAGTCTTCCAACACTAATGACAGACAAACGAATAACATTAACGATTTACAATCATCATCAAATTCTTTAACTGATTCTCACACCGTAACTGCTCCTATCTCCATCTCTACCGACAGACCAGCGGCCATAGCCAACTTTAGCGTCACCGCGAGTGTCGCGTCTACACCACGCACAATTGAAGAGAAACTCGGTTTACCACCACGACCAAAAAAGCCGCTTACGCCATATTTTCGCTTTATGCAAGACCAGCGTCCAAAAATACTTGCTGAAAATCCCAAATACAGCACTATCGATATAGTACGCGTGATATCAAAGCGCTGGAGCAATGCTGATGAAGCCCTGAAAAAACGTCTGCAAGAAGACTATAAGCGAGATCAGCAAAAGTTTGTAGAAGTACGTGCCAAGTATGAGGCGAAAATGACTGATGAACAACGTAGCGAATTGAAACAGCTTAAACAAGATATACAAGAAGCTAAGGATCGAAGAATGATGAGGAAACGCATTAAAGAACTCGGTCGTCCTAAAAGACCTGCATCTGCATTTCTACGTTTTCTCATACAAGAACGTACAAATTCACCACAAACAACAAAACAAACATACCGTGAATGGCATCAGAAATGCACCGAGAAATGGGCGCGTCTCACAGATAAAGAGAAAGAAGTATTCTTAATAGAATCACGTAAAGATATGGAATCTTATAAGTGAGTAACTACCAGAGAGCTTTAAAACGGGATTTTTAAATAACATTTCTTTGTTTTATTTTCTAAATTACTGTAGAAAAGAGATTGCGGAATGGGAAGAAAAAATGGTGCGCCTGGGCAACATAGACGTAGTGCGTCATGGTAATTTAATTGAAGCACCAGAACCAAAACTAAAAGGAATCAAACCAATTGTTTAGTTGGAAATTTAAACATAATAAATTCTACTTATTCTACTTTATTCGTTTGTTGTATTAAGTGCATTTTGCATTTATTTTTATTTTTTCCATATAAAATATATAAACACATACATATGTAAATATGAACATGCATATTTTGTTAAAATGTACGAATTGATCTTATACATACATCTTTGGCGGATTAACCTGCAAGTTTCAGTCCGCTTCAAAGCCTTATGCCCAGATCATTTATTGCATATACATACATACACATGTACATATGTAGATAAATGTGCATCTACAAGTAATAGCTATGTGTTTGCACTTACTATTTTTCGTTAAATATAAGTAAGAAATAAAAAAATTTATAAGCCTTCATTCATTGCGTGCAGTAAAAAAATACATACATACAATTAATATTAGGGTATTGAGTGATTGGAAAGAGATTAGCGCGGCACATACAGTAGCTTAATTCTATTAAAAGAATAAGGTGCTGTGTTGTTGACATAGCCGAAGAAATATTCTCCAAAAGTAGTTTTTGGTGTGACAGTCCTTGGCCAGATGAAAATCCGGGACGTTCCGGTAAAAAGACCGGACTTTTGGATTTTAGTCGCCAGTTACGACAGACATGGCTTGCCGAGCGAAAATTCTTGAACCTCTCAGCCTCAGAAGCACTAGATCTTTCAGCGGTAATTGGATTTCACAAAAGCCATTCATAAGAAAATAGGAAAGTGGTGCGATCCCGTGTTTAAAAGGCGCCTAAAGACGAACGCTTTTCATGACGCTAATGATCATGAGATTTCAGTAATAAAATAAGAGTAAGTTAAAAATAAAAATAATTGGCGCATAACAACATCATTATCTTGTTCAAAATTTCCAAGCTTGCATGACCGAACCTGTACAGATAATTGACGATCATTCATTTCTTCATAGCTAAATGTAGAACTTTGTTTGCCAACGGCAAACAATTAGGACAATATGATGTTGCCATAGCGTTCGTAGAGCTGTGCTGAGCTGATGAAAACCTGGGGGAATTCCAATTCTCTTCAATATTTGAGAAAGAAGAGACATCTGGTGATATTATTTGGCTTGGCCAGCTGGCAGGGATTTGAGGTCTTTTTCAGCGAAAGATGCAGTAGCAGTTCATTAGCTTACCTTTGAAAACTCGGAAATAATTCAGTATGCAGTTATGCAGTGCCTACGCTGATTGAGAAATTAGAAAACTATAGACTAGTAAATGAAGTTTCGGTCATGGATTTGGCTTGTATTTGTCTTTAATAAAAAAGGTTTTATTTTTATTTATTTTTTTTATTCTTTTCGTACTTTATTTTTGTAAAGCGACAATGCTCCGTGACGACACAAATTATTTAAATATTTTTCATATATACTAATTTAAATATGCATGTGTCTGTTTGTTTTCGCAGTGATATTTTATATAACATTCAAACAAATATTATCTAAAACTGTTTTTTGGATTTTGTTCTTTTTTCTAATTTTAATGTTTGAAAAGAAGAAGAAATCAATTATAGAAAAACTGGAAAAATCATACAAAATTTGTGTTTTTTGCCCTTGATTGCGTTTACAATTAACAGTGTGTGGGAAGAGTGGATTAAAAAAAGGAAAATATAATTACGTAGCGTATGCAATTATATACATATGTATAATTTTAAACTGTAACTGCTTTTTTATGTATACTCAGTGAGTGAGTGAGTGAGTGAGATTTATTTTAGATGTAAATGTTCCCTGGATATTCATTATTAGGTATTAATTATGACATAAAAAACTTGCTTATATGAGCTGAAAAGATCTAAGTACAGGTTTTATATACTTATATATACGCATATGTGTGCCTCCACATGTACGACTTTTGTTTTATTTGCATTTTACAAACTTATTGTTATATCAAAATACTACTATTTAGTTCAATCTTACTTTTGCAATTTATATAGTTAACAAAAATCATTTCAGCGTGCGTTTAGTAGCAAGGTATGTGTGTACATACATACACATACATACATAGTTGAACATATTAAGCTGAACTCGGACATATTTGATTTTCAACACTATCTGGGTACACGATATTTACATTAATATGTATTTTTAACAAAAACTATTATCATTTATTATATATATTATATATATATATATAAGCATAATTAAAAAAGTAGTAATTAAAAAATATAGTTTTTCCATTCATTGCCAAAGAAAAAAAAGAATCTAAAATAAAATATGTCTACTTTCTTGTTTTTGTGATTACAACAATTGTATAACATGCATACTTTTACTTACATAAATTGCATTTAAAGTTAAATTGTATTTGTTTTCTTATTTGTTTTAGTTTTAATCTTCTCTGTACGTAAATTTATTAAGTGTGTCCATTCAACTTCTGTTTCATATTTACAATAGCTCATAACAATATCAATGCACATATGCATACATGTATAATGTATGTATGTACATATGCATGTGGTGTATACTTATATGTAAAATAAAATACATACGTTGAGTTTTTCATTATTATTATTTATTTAAAAATTAAACATTTCACTACTTATGCGCCTCTTAATGTGCATTTGCATAAAATTTATTTGCTTACATTACATACATACGCATAAATTTATTTCAGTTTATTACATATATACTGCTTATTTACATATATGTAATATGTATAATGTAGAATTGTTTGTTGTGTTGTAAATATATGAGAAATATATACATATATTTATAAATGCTTATGCATAATTCATCTTAAATGACTAAAAGTAAAAAGTAGTAGTACTATTTCGTTTGTTGTTGCTGCTACTTGAACACTTAAACGATAAATAAAAGAAGGAATAAATGTCATAATAAAAAAAAGCTTGTAAAATAAGGAAAATATTAATGAAAATATTTCAGAAAAAAAATATATAAAATTGTTGCACAAAATTATATAAGTTGAACGCAGGCTTTCATAACATATGTACATATGTCGGATACGTTAACAATGCGAAAGTTTGGTTGGACGAAATTATTAAAATAAAGCCCAAATTACTTTTACCAATTTTTATTACATTTTTTATGTAAACTATTTATTTGTTTTCTTTTAATTGTTATTTTATTTAATTTAAGTAAATTTTTTATTTTTATTGCATTATGTTCAATTGATTAATTTTTTAAATTGTTTTTAATTTAATTTATTTTATATTATTATTATATTGTATTGCCTTTAAATTAATTAATTCTTATTAATTTCACTTTATTTTTTGCTTTGTCTTGCGTTTAATGGATTTTATTTAATTTTTTTTAATTGTTTATTTTATTTTATTGTAATGTATGGAATTGAATTTAATTTTATTTATTATATTACATTGTATTCGCTTGAATTCAGTTTATTTAATTTATTTGAAGTGATGAGAATTTTAGTGAGCGGAAGTCCTATTTGTCTTCATGAATTGAAAATTTTGTTATTTTTTATTTTTTATTTATTATTTTTTTTATTTAATCACATTTCATTCATTTTATTGTAATGTATTTAATTTAATTTATTTTATATTACTTTATTTAATTAAATGAAATTAATTTATTTTATTGTAGTATATTTAATTAAATTTAATTTATTTTAGTTAATTTTATTGTAATATATTTAAATTAATTTAATTTAATGTTTTTTATTATTTTTTCTGTCTTTATTTATTTTAAATCATTTCTTTTATTTTTATTTTATTTTATTTTATTTTAATTGGTTTTTCTTTATTTTATATTGTATTTAATTTAAATTTAATTAGTGTAGCTCGTTTTATTGCAATGTGTTTAAATTAATTTAATTTATTGTACTTTATAATCCATTTGTGTTGTCTTTATTTTATTTTATTTTATTGATTTTTCTTTTATTTATTAAATTGTATTCAATTTAATCTTAATAATTTTAGTTCATTTCATTGCAACGTGTTTAATATAATTTAATTTATTTTATTGTATTTTATTTCAATTAATTTAATTTATTTTTTTTTATTGTATTGCATTAATTGAGTTAATTTTTTTCTGCATTTTATTTAAAATAATTTAATAAATTACACCTTATTATTTTTTGTATTGTCTTTATTTTATTTTATTATATATTTATTTAATTTATCGTTATTTATTATTTTTTTTTGTACTTTATTGTATTTAAATTAATTTTAATTTTTTAATATCATTTTATTGCAATATGTTTATTCTGATTTAATTTTTTTATTATATTTTATTTAAATTAATTTAATTTAATTTAATGTTATTTTTTAATTTTTTTGTATTGTCTTTATATTATGTTTAAATTATTATATTAATATTATTATATATTTAATTTATTTTATTTTATGCTTTATTGATTGTTTATAATATACTGAGAGATTTTTTTTTAAAAACAATGAACTCCAGCGAATGACAAACGTACATAGATATGTGAAATAATAATAGAAAATTTATAGTTTTATTTATTTTATTTTTCATTACACGGATTACAATTATTACCTAAGCTAAATTAAATATTTTTTTAAGTTCTTTTCTCATAACTTTTTTTTCATGCTTAAGTAATTTCCAAAAAAAAGTTTATTAATGATAAACGTCGGCGTAAAACTAAAATAAGAAATAATAATTAAGAAGAGGGAAGGAAATATAAGTGCTAAGGGATATGTTAATTGTTTATTTCTTGTCTTCGTTGTTGTATTTTATTTGTAGGTTACATAGGTTGGCTAAATAATTTTGGTAGTTGTTCCGATTATGACCGTCTTTCGTTAGCTACCAACCTAATTTATTACAATTTTTGTATAATTATTTTTGTATTTATGCATTAGGGAGGTAGACGGTGCAATTTGTTTAAAATTTGATGATGCTTACTGAAAATCTGGTATTTCAAGTAGAAGAAAATGAAAACTAAGAGAAAATCAATAGAAATACATATATCAAATTGAAAAAAAAAAAAACATGAAAAATTTTAAGCGCTGCCACCTTCGAAAATTAAGGTGCATAAAGCGCAGGAAAATTAAGTCAACAACAACAGAGTTAAACTAAGTTTCTTTAAAACCCACTATTTTAACAATTAATTCGTTTTCATAAGAAAATATTAACCTATTTGTATTTTTTGTAATTTTATATTTAAATTACAGAAAATGTGTAAGAAAAAAAAACAGTTATTTGTGTTTGAGTGTTTTTGTGTAGCGCAAAGAGTAATTAAAATACTTTATACATTACTAGATATTAACTTTCATATGTAGATATTATTAAAATTTATCACAAGTTTTACGCTTTTTATATTTTTTTTGCGTTTTTGTTTATTAATTGCTTATACTAATTTTCATTTATTTCACTTACATTTTTTAGTACTTTTTCATTTTTTGCTTTTACGGTTTTGCCTTAGTAGAAGAGAAAAAGTGTACAGTTACATAATTTGTAGTAATAATAGTGTGTTTGTTCAAAAAGAAAAAAAATTAAAACATATATATTATCTTAATTTTTGTTTTTATTTAAAAAATGTTTGACTTTTCAATTCTGCTCCATATTAATTCTTTTTTATTTGTTTTAGCTGAATGTAAGTTAAATTCTGCATACTTAATATAGTTTGTGCACATAGCTTCAACAACTTTTTAAGTTAAAGTTTAAATTCTGAAATTTTTTCATTTCCTATTTGTATATATATATGTATATATAATATATGTATATAGTGTAAAGTTTAAAGATAAAATAGTGTTATGAAATGAAAACATGCGCATAAGCCTGGCCGGCTTTCCGTATTATTACTGTATTTTTTTTAACTGCTGAAGCTCCATTTTGGCGACGTACCCACCAAACCTACAACTGTTTTTAAGTTCAAGTTATAATTAATTTTACACCTATAATAAATTTAGAAAAACCAAAAAATATTTTTTTTCAAGCAAAAAATACCAACACCTATGTACATAGTACGTAATTATGTATGATTGTATGTATATATGTATGTAAAAAGAAAATTTAAACTGCCGCCAAGCAGCGAACAAGCATTAAAAGAGGCAAAAAAAAATGTGTGTTCATGACAATCAGTAAAAGTAGAAACTTGTGGCAATCGATGCTGTTGCAGCTGGCGGCACAGCAGAAAATTCATGTAACCATTCCCAATCAACTGCATCCGGCTGCGGCTGGTACTGTGGCGTCGGCGTCGCCAACGGCGTCACATAGCAATCGTAGCAATGAGCGCATTGGCATTGTTGCTGTTGTCGTTGTTGTTTTGGCGTCGTTGTTGTCGACTGATAGTAATGTTCCAGTTCCGCGGTATAATATTGCTGTTGAGTTGTTGCTGGTGACGTTGAATTCTTCGTTGAATTTGGTTGCTGGAACTCCTGCGCATGTTGTTCTTGCTGCTGCTGTTGCTGTTGTTGTTGTTGTTGCTGATATTCTCTATAAAGCTGAGTGTAACGATGATGATGACGCTGATAATGATGATTACGATGCTGATGTTGATGTTGGTGGTGACGTTGTTGCTTTTGTTGCAGTTGCTGATTCTGCTGTTGCTGTAATTTAAACCAATTTGCATAGTGCCGCAACAGCAATTTTCAATCTTTTTGTTGCGTCTGATGATGATGTGCATGCGCATGCGCAGAGTGTTGTCGTTGTTGCTGTTGTTGTTGTTGTTGTTGTTGCTGCTGCGCTTGTTGTGGGTGCATATGCGATAGCTGCTGTTGTTGCGTTTGCGCATGATGATGCTGATGATGCAACGTTTGTTGCTGCTGCTGCTGTTGCAAGTGCGTCGCTGCACCCAGCATAGCATGCTGCTGTGGCGACACACCATTATGCCTCATTGTGTGTCCGTTTACGCCTTCAGCAGCAGCAGCAGCACCACCACCGCCACCACCTCCAGCACTGCTACTACTGCCGCTGCTGCTGGAGCTTGTGCTGCTGCTATTGCTGGCATTGCCGCCAGTATTCGTTGCATCCGATTTGCGCAGCAAGTAAATGGAGCCATCAGCCGCCTGCTGTAGCGAATATTCGGATGTTGAGCACGGATTGCCTTCGGGGTCGCGCAAGTACTGGAAGGTGGAGAGACATTTTATTTTAGTTGGATGGAAAGTAAAAATAAATATATATATTTAATCTATACATAAATATACCCTCCCAATATATTATAGTAGTATGCTTCAACAGAACTTAGGACCAGGTTCCTCTAAAGATTTTTCAAAGAAATGAAATTTTTCTTTTCATGTAAATTGTAATAAAATTCTCTTATAAATAATATAAAATTAGTCCCGAAGGTCCGCAAGAACAACAAGTAAGTACAAAGAGAGGAGAGCGGTGCGCGCAAATCGGTTAATCCGACCGCTCGAGCTTTTCTCGAAACCACGTTTTTTTTTTTCAATTGGTAACACTTTCATTTAGAAAATAATGGACGAAAAAAAAATTCATTGTTACATCAAAAATGTATAAATAATTAAAATTGAAAAAAAGGGTAAGCAAAATGAAAAAGCCCGCCATTTTTTCTTATTTTTTGTAGCTCCGACCACAGCGAATATGATACAGAATAAAAAAAAAACCGTTTAGAGATTTGCTTTTAGATGATTCGTTTTACAGTTATCGCTTCACTCACCAACAAAAGGGGCGTGTTTCAGCAGCAATTTTAAGAGCCACCGTTTAAAAAAGGCAAATTTTTTACATTTACGTCTACTTATTTACATAAATATTGGTTTATAAATATTTTTTTTTAATAAATAAAATTTGTTTGAAAAAAAAACACGTTTTTTGGAGGAACTGAACATGGCTTTAAAGCAAAATTAAAATAAATGCCTATTTTCGCTTGCAAAAATTAGAATAAAATCATATAACCTTCCATGTATGCTTTTTTAGAAGGTTTTATTGGTGTAGATTCTGCAATAAAAAAAATTCTTGGTATTTGCAGCCAAAATATAAAAAGATATTTCCTACTAAAAATTTACTCGCTAGATGTCTCTGTGGTACTCACGGTATCAGTAAATTCTGCATTTATTCTTCAATTTGGCTCATATTTAGAACTTATTCAAGTCAGTCGAATACAATTATTTGTACTGAAAACATACACTTTAGATGGCGCTGTGGCCTCTATGTACATAGATTCCTATTAGAGTTTGCGCGCGACTACATTCGCATGGAATTTTCAGTTGGTTCTAATTGGATTTTTTTTCGGTTTTTAAGTTATTTTATTGAGTTAAAATGTATGAAAATGAAGTAAAAGTCATTCACATACGACCCTGGGCAAAGAGCCTTCAATTTTTCAAATTTCGGTACCGAAAAAAAATTTCTCCATGCATTAAGATAGCCAAATCACTACATGTTAACCAAAAGCTCACTTTCCGGAAGAAAAAGGTTTCCCCCCCGACATTAATTTAGTTTCAAGGCCTACGAACAATTTAATCAAAAATTCGATTATCTCTGAATAGAACGGTCCCTTTCTATTCGGATACCTACGCCATACGCAGACTACACTCTCTAAGCTTCAGATCTCTACGATTAATGATTTATGCTGTGGGCAGTCTGTCATTAAGAATAAAACCTTTTAAATATATTATATATGCATTTGTATATATTATATGGCTAAGGACACATAGATGGCATAAAATCATTGTTAAATGCTAAAGCATTTCTGCAGAAAATTGTTCAAAATCTAAAATTTTTGAACTCAACTTGCTGCTACAGCTACAGCTGAAGAAAGAGGCTTCAACACTACACGTAAATGCATGAAGATAGGGCAGAAAATGGCAGAAATTTTAAAAGCTTTGAATATTTCTGGGAAGAACCCGATGGAATGGCCAAATTTGGACGCCATGGCTTCGGAGGAACAATGATCCATTACAATCATGACCGAAGATAGCATCTCTTATAAACCAATCACTGGACACAAAAACATCAAGCAGGTTTGTTCAAAATCGGTTAAATGAAGCAAACTTGTTTGGGCGCATTTCCAGCAAAACTCGCTTCTGCACAAAGAGAACATTGTAAAGCGATTGACTTTCGCTAGAGGCACTCATGAAAAATACCATATTTTTTTTTAAAAACGTATTATGGAGTGGCGAATTGAAAACTCAACAGGATTGAACCAGATGACAGAGTTTTGTACATTTTCACAAATTCTAAGAATATAATTGCAGGTTTACTTAGAAGACGGTGAAACGCGGGGGCGGCGGAGATATTATGGTATGGAGTGCATTAGGTGTGGGCATGACATAGGTCCGCTCGTACGAATCAATGACAAAATCGGCAAGTTTCCGTATTTAAACATTTTGAAACACCATGCAGGTGATTAATTTAGCCAAGAAACCCAAACACTCTCCAAGTTAGATATAAATTAGTTGCCTGTGGAAAGATCGATATTTCAGTTTGACCCGCCCGCAGTTCTGACTTAAGTCCCATTGAACACATACGGAATGAACTCACGACTGAATTTTCAAAGAAAAAATTGTAAAAATAAGAACGATAATTGGTCTGCCGTTTTGGTAGAAAAACTCTTCGAAGCTATGAGTCGCAGATGTGAAGCAGTCTTTAAAAAAAAAAAATACTTTAGAAAAACACATTTCCACTTAATTTTACCTTCTCCACATTTTCATTGGTTTTGTTATGGCGTTAATGAGTTCTAACTTGAGATTCGGTTATTATTCAATGTGAAGCATAAACTTAAGAAAAACACCGAACACTTGACGATTGATGATATCTTCAACGACGCAAAAGCTTAAGAGCGTCGCCTTAAAAAAAATGTGCCATTTGGACATATCGCTGTGTATATGTGTAGATTCGGAGTTAAATATGTAATTCTACTTAAAATAAATCATATTATACTGATATTAAAGAGAGTGAGAGAAGCTTTTCCGCCCATTTTATAATATTTATTAGAGAGCTTATGAAAGCTGGGAGTAAAGCATATTCCAGACTTTTAAGTTTAAAAATCAATAAAAAAAGCACATTTTAAAACTTAATTGCAATTTAATTGGCTAGGTAGGTAAATAGCATATTACAATCCCAGCAACAATCTGAATGAGTGAAGAAGGTTTACATAGGATAATGCATTTAAACATTGTGACAACCGAATTGAGAAATTCAAAAGAACTTAATCGTAAAGTGGATTTTGAGTAAATTGGCTTAGAGTGGTAGTGAAGAGAGTTGCCACCTACTCCTTCGCGGTAGGGATTCAAGATTTTTCCCGCGGTAAGACATGGCTGTCACAAAAGACGACAAAAATTCTAAAGTTACCGCTAACAACGGCTCTCTAAACCCGAACGATCCGGAGTTTTATCCGGCTAAGGACTCTCGGAGTGTGCGAGCTTTTTAAAAGAAATTTAATTTGTTCGCTAACCGAGAAATTATTCAAAATACGATTTAATTCATTTTATAAAATAATAGTCAAGCAACGTCTGATGGGCGAATTATCAAGGTATCCCTATTTTAATACAAACAATTTTAAATTTTTTTATATTTCTTTCGTTTTTTCTAAGTTAATCCGACTGTTTTTTATATTAATCAAAAGTGAGCTTGCCAAATTTGCCCTCATTGCTGTTAATAATTAACCGCCTAACCACCTCAAACACTGCACTTAAATTGCCAATACTTACTTGGAATATGTGTCTATGCAGCGCTGCGAACTTATTCGATATGCGCTTTCGTTCCAAAGTCAAGCTGTCACGATCCGCGTACAGTTGCTCCTTACGACTGCGCACCGCTTTGACCTCATCCTCCAACGAGAGTATCTGATCGAGCTTACGTTTACGGCAATTCTGTGCCGCCACCTTATTCTTGCCACGTCTGCGTATGTCACGTATCAGTGAGAGTTGATTTTCGGTCAAATCATATTTGGAAAGGCGTTCGTTGAATTCATCCATTGGCAAATTGATAATATCACTAACTGAAATGGGGATGTTCAGAGCGCGTGCACGCTTCTCATCGCGTGTCAAATGTTCTTCCTCACCATTCATGGATTTGGAGGATTTCGACGAGGAAATAGAGAGTTTCTTATCACGCGCTTGTGGGCGAGGCATCGAGCCGGTGCCCTGCGGCAGCGTATAGGTGTGATTATGTTGCACCACCTCATGTGGTGTACGTGGCGGACGTTGTGCGAAGTCGAGTGAATAACCGCCAATAGCGCCAGCTACAGCAGGGCCATATTTTAAATCGTATGCTTGTTGTTCTTTGCTGCTCAATGCTGGACCCATAGCACCGTCGGCATTGAGTACACCGCCAGAGCCGCCTTGTTGTAGACCCGGTACAGTTGGGTACGGCTCATATTCGTATTTAATAGATTGTGCCGGACCAATATTCAATAAGTTATTCGCGCCCGTTGGTGGTAATACATTGACGCCACCGCCAGCGTTGCTGTTATTGTCTGGACGTGCTGTAACAGCACCCAAGCCGGGCTGTTCGTTAAGAAAACGTTTGCCAAACATTTGATGTTTCTTCTGTGCGACAGGCGGCTGTCGTGTGCCGTCGTTCATGCGATTATTACTATTATTATTGTAACTGTAATCGTACGGCCGACCATATTTGCCTTGGTGATAATCTTGCGCCGAATCACTACCCTCACCCCACTCACCATCCGATAGCGAAGGTACGCGCTCCGAACCCATTGAACTGACTGCACTGTCGCTAGAAGCGTCCAAACGATCACCGCCCGCACTTGTAGCACCAGCACCCGAACTCAAGAGATCTGTAGTCATACCGCCAGTGAGAGCGCTATTTGCGGCCCCAGCACCGCTCATCGTCAAACCGTTTGCGATCGAACCAGTAGCACTGCCGCCACCAGTACTTGCATGCCCAGCGGCTAAACCACCGCCTAGTACAGAAGAATTATTACTGGTACTGTTATTGACATCGACCATGCGACAGAAGCCTGAAAGTAGATAGCAAAAGGCAAACACAATTACAACCATTTATTTTGACAAGCGAACAGTGGTAAATTGTTGGTATAGAAAACGAATAAAACTGAGAGCGGCAAATTCAGCTGTAGCTGAAAATGCACAAATAATTGAGGGCTAGACTATTTGATTTATTTAATAAAATAACATGAAAAAACCCAAATGAAATTAATTAAATAGGTTAAATGAATAAAAAACAAAATAAAATTAAAATAAATAGAATCAAGTTAAAAAACAAAAACATACAAAAATTATATAGAGGAAAAAAAGTAAAATAAATTTATATACATAAAACTGAAAAAAATAAAAATAAAATTAATTTAAAAGGAATAAAATAAATAAAAAATACTATAATCTAAAACAAAAAAGTTAAATAGGATAAAAAGAAAATAAACAAAAACTAGAAATAAAATAAATAAAAAAGAATAAAAAGAAAATAAAATAAAAACAAAATGAAAGTGAAATAAAATAAAATAACATGAATTATATTGACATGAACATTGAACATGAATTTATAAAATAAAAAAAATATAAAATAAAATATATGAAAACAAAATGAGAATTAAAAATAATTAAAGTAAAATAAAATAACATAAATAAAATAAGTTGCAATAAAATGAAAATATAAAAAAAAATGAATAATATCAAACAAAGGAAAATAAAAAAAATTAAATTAAATCATAATTAAAATAAAATTAAATAAAGTAAGTTAAAAAAGTAAAATACGTGAAAGGAAGTTTAATAAGATAACACAAGATTGAGTAAAATAAAATAAAATAACGCAAAATAAATTATATAGTGTCAAAATAAAATAATGAAATTAAATAGCAATAAATATAAAAAATTATAACATAAAAAAATAAAACAAGATAAAATTAAAATAAAATAAAAAGAATTGAAGTAAAATAAAATAAAACAAAATAAAAATAAATGAAAATTAAATTAAAATATAAAAAATTAATATAGTATACCAATATAAAATAAAATATTTATATTGAAACAAAATAAAATAAAATAAAGTAAAACAAAATAAAATTATATATCGTAGAATTGAGTTAAATAAAATTAAATAAATAAAAATAAAATAAAGCATAATAAATTAAATAGGTTCAAAATAAAGCAAATGAAAATAAATAACAAAAAATATAAAAAAATAAAAATATAATATAAAAAACCAAAATAAAATGAAAACAGTAAGTAAAATAGAATAAAAAAATAGGATACACAGAAAAAAAGTAAATCAAAATTAAATTAAATTAAATAAAAGAAAAAAAAGTGATATAAAGATATTTAGGTAAAAATAAATTATTATAAAATAAATACTAAATATTTCACTAAAAAAGTAGCTTTTTTGAATTAAATTTGAGGAATTCCGTAACACGCGAAAGTGAAAGATTTTCCGAAATCCTTTTCATTCATTTAACGTCGGATTTCTTAGAGAACATTTGAGTTTCAAAACAATCAATTGGAACAGTGTTAAATTCCTCAACTATCCTATTGGAAAAGCAAAAATTATTACCCAAAATCTGACTATCTCGACCCCGCTCCGCTGCACTCATTAGCTGCTGCTTAAAAGTTCAAAATTAAACTCTTATTAACAGTGTAGAGGAAATTGCATAGTATCTTTATTTATTTATTTATTTATTTATATTTTGAACCCAACAACTAATTTTTATTTTGTGCTTTACCAAAACGAAATGGTAGTGAACGGCAAAATCATTACCGCCAAATTGGTAGAAAGCACGTATATATGTATAAATGTACATGTGTGTAAAAGCCGTTCAACGCCAAGAGTGCACAGCACTCACCTCAGCTGATCGATTGTCCAACTGGTTCATGCACGTGTCAGCTAAAAGCTACCATTGACATTTGAAAACCGGTTTGTAATTTATATAAACAGCGGGTAAAAAAAAAAAATTTAAGAAAATAGTTTTTGATTTTTATTTACAGTCACAATTTACTTCTAAGGTGAGTAAAATTATACGTCACCTAAGTTAATGCATAAATTTATAACTCGGTCTACACAATTAAGCGCCAAGCAGTCCATGCGTTTCTAAAAGTATGTTTTTGTAAGTTTTTTCATAAGAAAGAAAAACCTTTACTTTCCGCCAAAAATGTGTATTTACTATATAACATACGTATATAGGTTTTGAAAATCATTGTATATTGTTTACATGAATTTGGAGTTTGCAAAAATGCTGACTCATCTAGATAAAAATTAAGAAAAAAGCTTTCGCTTAACCTAATCAAGTTATCACCTGTGCTATCAGTACACATACTCGCACATACGTATTGATAACAGTTAAGCAAGCAAGTCACGTACTGAATTCCTAGCATTGTCAGAATGACGACGCATATTTGTATGGCATACAAAAACGTAGGTGTTGAGTTCGAGCTAAAAAAAGTTGTTAAAATTTCTGGCTGGTAAAGAGGAAAGCGATGGAACTTTTTTTTTGTTAATTTGGAATGTTTAATGAAAAGGTAGCTACCGCCATCGTCGAGTGGTAATTTAACGCATATTTAAAATTTAATATATAACTTAAAAAATAGTTATGTTATTATACCTTTACTATATATACAGACATTTTGTACGTATATATATGTACACAGCTTGAACATAGCAAATAAAATAGGTAAGAAAATTTAACATTTTAACAGAACTATCAAATAATATATTTTGTTAATATTTATTTGGTTAACAAAACAAAATTACGTGGGACTGAACAAATACTAAATAAACCTAATTGCAATATAAACAAATAATACTGAATATAATTAGATGAAATAAAATAAAATAATAAAAATTCCATGCCTGAGGCGTCTGCATATAGAAAATTTAACTTAAGTTTTTATTTAAATTCATTTTCTTTAACTTTTATAATATATAATAAAATAAAATAAAATGCAATTAAATAAAAATACAATGAACGAAATATTATTGTATTAAAAAAAAAATTAAGTGAAATGATGATAAAAATGAAAAAAAAAAAAAAAAAATTATAAAAAATTTAAATAGAATTCAATAGAATAAAAATATTACAAGCAAAATAAATATAATAAAATATACTAAAAAATTAAATATAATTAATAAAATAAAACAAAAAGATATTATTATATAAAAATAAAATGAAAGAAAATTAAAAAAAAAAATATAATAAATAAGAAATAAGTAGATTAAATAGAAAAAAGACTAAGGAAAAATAGGCTAATTAAAGCTGAATAAAAATACAATAAAAGAAACAAAAGTAAATGAAAAATAAAACTATGTAAATGACATAAAATAACAACAACCGAAATAGTCTACTGGCTGCCAAAGCACAATTTTATTTTAAATTTCTTATAAATGAGGTCCCTTCATGAGGGGGAATGTTAATACCTCCGAATGTACTTCTCATAAGAAAATAGTCACCTACGATCAAAATTCAAAGCTCGTTCTAAGGCTTTAAAATTCTCCATATATCTGTATATGTACATACAGACATATACGTATTAAATGTTAAACCACTACCAATTTGAGCTCTAGATACCCGGGTATCGAGCAGTGAGTGCAGCTCGATAGTCGTTCGTTGCTCAACAGCTCAAATGTTTGGGTTTGAAAATTTATAATTCACTTTTTGTTTTCAAAATTTCTTTAGTATTTTAATGAGCTTTACAAGTTCTGACCAAAAAATCAAAATGCTCGAAAAATCTCGTTTTGCTTGAGTTCGTGTTCGGAAATTTTCAAGCAATAAACCACGAACAAGTGCGCTAGTACTCGTTGCTCAAATGCTCGAGCTGCTAGATTCCTACGGATCAAGTCTGGAGCTCTTCCAGCATTTAACGTCTTCCAGTCATATGTAAATGGTGCGCGTATAAATTCTATGTTAACAAATAGATCGATAAAAATTTATCTGAGAGGCTCAATTACCGATACGATCGAATTTCGTTTTGTCAATATGAAAAGTAAAATTTAACGAAATGATTTTGTTTAGTTTCGGCGACATGTTTTCGAAACGAAATGAAATTGTTAAAGTTGAAAATGCACAAATTCAGCGTTAACATCAATTAAAATGGCTGCTAGCTGTGACTTAACATCACATTTTAACTTTAACATTTAAATTATCTGTTAACGACTTAACATTGACGACAACTTTTCCCCTCGGGTAAATACGAAAAGTATTTTATTTTGATAACTGCTTCAACGATAATATTTTCAAATATTTCAACAGAATTGATGGAAATTTTTTGGTTACGATGCAGCCTTGAAACACATACACACATATGTGGCATACGTGATAAAGTAAATTTTTACAAAAATGCCACTCATACGCCATGACACTTTAGCACCACCGCTTTTCAAATAAACAATTTTTGCTTACGTTTAAAACACATTTTTTTATTGATATATATTTTATACTATTTTATAATATTTACATATATAGTATATATTTATATATATATATATATATATATATATATATATATATATATATATATATATATATATATATATATATATATATATATATATATATATATATATATATATATATATATATATATATATATATATATATATATATATATATATATATATATATATATATATATATATATATATATATATATATATATATATATATATATATATATATATATATATATATATATATATATATATATATATATATACATACATATATATATATTTACTGATGGAAAACCAAAAAAATATATAAATAACTTTAGTTTAAGATATATCTTTTGTATATGTGAGTGACTGCTGCTTCGTGTGTTTTCGGCTCAAAAAGAAAACTCAAAGTAAAACTATAACCCTGACATAGTTGCTCGCAAAAGGTAACAATGCTTAATTAAATAATAATTGGATAAATTTGTTAAAAAAAAATTAATTTATTTATTTATTAGTGATAACTGTCGGAAATGCACCGGAAAGTTATATTTAAATAAAAACAAGCATTAAGACTTTACTTTTACT